TAATCAGAAATCACTGCCTTTTTCTACCTAAATTAAAAAAGAGAAATAAAACAAAAGTTTTGACTCTAAAACTGTGAAAAGTTTGATGTGGACAAAATGCATTTTGAAATCGGATATAAAATGTATGCTGTTCCACTTGCTATGGCGAGATCACAGCGTCCTGGTCTCTGTCGGTTCTGCAACACTGTGCAAGTCATTCCAGTGCTCTGGGCCGAGGTCTCCTAACCTGCAGACCGAGGGGGTTCATCCGGCAAGAGCTGCAAAGGGCCTTCCAGCTTTAAAATTCTATCCTCAATCTTATGCCACCTTCCGACTACAACAAAAAAGAGACAGTAGTCTTCCCCTTAAAACATGTAATAAGAACTGCTTTATTTAGCACAAAAAATCCTTAAATAATAAAAAAATGGGTCTTAAAATGAAAAACTTAAAGTACTGAGAAAAGTAAAGATTTAAGAAGCAAATACCCATCTGGTTGTAAAAGTATAAAGTTGGGATCAGCTTTGACGACACCCTCCTTCATTTCCAGTCAAAGTAATATTGATTTTCTTCTGAAATGTTTTTATAACCTGTTCACTTTTCTCCTTGTGGCTGACCACCACCCTATCCAGGTCTCCCTATGACTATTCCAGTTGCCTTTTAACTTGTCATCCCAACAACTCAGGCTCCACCCATTTATGAGGGAAGGGGAAGAGTGGCAGAAAGGCTGGGGAGAAGTGGGGACCCAGGTTTCATCTTTCCTGGAAAAGGGGCAAGCTTGGAGCAGCAATGGGGCACCCAAGAGCCAGCTCTGCTACTCATTCCCTACGTTGTTTACAAGGAATTTCTTTACATCTGTGCCTATATTCTCTCTATAAAATGGGAATGAGAACACTGCCTGCCTCATGGGACTGCTGTGCAGAAGAAACGAGTCAACACGTGCAAAGCACAAAGCACAGAAACAGGTGCACAGTAAACAAACCTCCCTATTTTTATCCTCACCTACCAGACCTACAATTTTTCCAGCTCACCCTGCACAACGAGGGCCTCTTTTTACATCATCATCACGGCTGCAATTTCACATTTATTCAAATAACTCTCAAATTAATGTCTGTCTCTTCCTCTACTGCTTCCACTCCAGGAAGCAGAAATCATATGTTTGCCTCTCCTACCACAGTGTTTGGCAAAGAAATGCACTAGAATGTTTGTTAAGTAAACCTCTCAAGTAAGGCAAACCAATGTCACCTGAGTCTCCAATCTGCAGTTTCAAATGTCTTCAGAATTAGTTTTTCTTGAACTTACCAAGTAACAGAATGACCCGGAAAACTTCTGACATACCCATGCCCAGACCCCAGAGATGCCAGTTTGATTGGTCTGGGATTAGCCACAGCCAGTATTGAAAACTCTCCAAATAATTCTAATGTGCTAGTCAGGTTGGAAAGCCCCAGTGCTGTTCCCATCTGCTTCAATTCCGGAGGGAAGGCCTCTTAGCCGATCGCTGCTTTCGAATTTAACTAACCTCAGGGGGGTTGATTTTTTTCTTATTTATATAATGGGCAGCTTCATGGGCAGGATCTTGGCTCGCGGAACAAACAAGGATGGTTCGCATTGTTCAGACAGTTGTGATCCTGGCAGCAAACCTGTTGGATGGCTCCAGGCCCCTGCACCCTAAACAGCTCTCATTCGGGACGCTCCTGCCCCTGAGAGTGAGCGCACAGGAACCTCCTCTTCTCTTATTTACCGTAAAACTCACCACAGAATTCCTTACACTGTATAAGAAACGTGTGGTGTTTGTTTTCACATGCTGAAGAAGGCAGAACTCAACCCATCCCTTCCTGGCGTTGCTCCCAAGATAGATCCCAGAATCAGCGTTCTTCCTCCCGGTCTAGCGCTCCACCTTCTCCCATCTCTGCTCCTTCCCACAGTCCGTTCACTCCCGTTCCTGCAAGGTTCCATGGGGCTTCCCTAACCCCAGTCCCAGTGTGATCCCAGATATGAGGATTCCCTTCGAGAAGCCACTGCGGGCTTCTCCAGCTGGCGGCCCCAGGATTGGGGAGCTGGGAGACCGGACCGCGGCAGGGCCTCCCCCCCGCCCCACCTGTGCATCTGGGGAGGCACAGGGTGCTCCTGGACCACGGGAAACCCAGACTCAACGTGTTGGTCCGCTGCAGATCAGCAGGCGGGCAATTCTTTCCTCCCCGGGGAAGGCCGGTCCCTGCACAGCCAGCCTCTCGCGTATCCGGGATACCCGGGTCTCCCCGGAACCACCACATCTGGGCACCCCGCGCCCAGCCCGTTACTTGGGAAGTGCAGGAGGCAAGCCCGCCGCTCAGGGCGAGAGAAGTCGCCCTCCCTCCCCCACTCCCCGCGGGAAAAGGAACGAAACGCGGATTCCTAACCCTGCACAACAGGTCCTTTGGGCACTTGCGAGGTCCAGGAAGGGGTGGGGGGGGGGCGACAAACTGAGAAAAGAGGCGAGAGTATTCCGTGGGCGTATTTCCCACGGAGGAACCTTTCCATTTAACGTCTCCTACGCTTGTCTCCAGCCCCCAGCAAACCCTGAGGTTGGGGAGCAGGAACCATCCCGCGGGCGTGGGTAGGAGCAGAGTTGCGGACCTGTGAAGATGGCACCGGTCCGCTCTGCCCCAGAAGTTAGGTGCTGCAAGAAAAGCGCCTCGATGCGCGCGGCGGGGCTGACCCTCACCAAGGGCGGTCGGCGACCACTCACCTTGTGCCTGCGCCTCCATGGTTGCCGACTTCGGGCTGAGGTTGGCAGGAGCGAGCTCTCAGAGATTCAGACAGCAAAGCCCGAGTTCAGAACGCAGCTGGCCCAGCCACTGGCGCCCTCTCTCTGCACGCGCGTCGCGAGCTCTAAGTGCAGGGGAAGAAGAGTCTCCGGCAGCAGCTTCTGGTTACCTCGGCTCCCAGTCCACCTGGCCTAGACCGCCTTAGGGGGGTAAAAAAGGCCACTGGTGGGCGCCACCTGCCGACCACTCTGCGCATTGAGCCGAGGGCGCCCCCTTCTGGCTCAGGCCCCGTGCTCAGGCCCAATAAGCACCTCACTGATCTCAAGAAGGCCCTGAACTAGGTTGTACCCGAGTGAATACCGTGGGAGAGAGGAAAGAGGGAGGATTTACAATACTAAACGACCATTGCTCCTGGGGGAAATTCTGTTTAGTTTTTGTTACCTTCTGGACTCAACATATTTATCAACTAACCAACATATAACCTTGTTTTCTGTGAGTTTCTATTTAAAGATATGTTAATATATACTGATGGTTAACTCATTAACCTTTTCAACTTATGTATTTTGTCGCTAGGACACTAGACAGCAGTTCAGCACTGTGTTTGGGGGCCATTTTAAATAGCAACTCCCAGCCCTCCCGCAACAAGTGCACAAAAATGGTTTAATTGTAGTCTGTGAAGAGGGTACTTGTTTACAGTATGAGAGCTGAAATAAGAAGGTAGAGCTTAGCCTTGTTTAACCTCAGCTGGGAATGCGTACAACTGTCCACCCAAATTTTTCACGGCTCTGCCAGTGTCTGAGAATGGCCATGAAAGTGCTATATTGATTTTGGTGTCATAAGTAAATTTTAGTGATGAGGTAAGTTCACAAATATGGATCTTGCAAATCAACTGCGTATATGTTTTCTAATTCAAAAACCTGCCCTGGCCAGTGTGGCTCAGTTGGTTGGAGCATTGTCCCATAACTGAAAGGTCCCTAGTTCCTTCCCGTCAGGGCACATACCTAGGTTGTGGGTTCAATCCCTGGTTGGGGCACATATGGGAGGCAATTGATCAATGTTTCTCTCTCACACTGATGTTTCTCTCTCACACTGATGTTTCTCTCTCACACTGATGTTTCTCTCTCTCTCTGTCTCACTTCCTCTCTCTCTCTAAAAATCAATAAAACATATTTAAAAAAAAACCATAGGCCATGTCTATAGGTTGATGAAGCAGTCACATTTTCAAGAAAAAACTAGAAGTGTACAGTTCCATTCCAAGCCTAGCCTGGCAATTGGACTAAACAGCATAGCAGGGACTAAGAATCATCAGCTCATGTCTCACCTGCTCAGGTCTTCAGCTGTTACAGATCGCCCCTTTTTCTTCCTACCTACACAATCTGCATGTAGAAAAGGAAAGGTAGTGTTTATTTACACTTGGTCCTGGTTTTCTATATATTTTTACAGTTTTCTTTTTTTCTTAAACTAGGTGTTAAAGTGTGTCAGGGTCAAGTGTCAGTCCCATATTGAGCCCCCATATTTCCTGCCAAAGAGCCTTATACAAATTCACAGCTCAAAAAAAAAAAAGAGTTGGTGAATAAACAACTAATGGACCAGTAGGTTCCATTTCATCCATGCCCAAGTTATTTCAAAGTATAGACTTAATAAACACAATGTGCTTTTAAATTTTTGCTTGAGAGAAGGAACACTCATGATTTCCTGGCACATGTAAAACCATATCAGTGTTTTTTGGTTATGTTCAAGATATCCTTGATCTGTCATCATTGATGTTAAAACTGCTCTTTAGAACACCAAGCACAGGACTTTTTAAATGGCTTTTGGTGATAGTGACCATGGATGCACCAAGTGATAAGTTAGAATCAGTGCTTTAAAAAAACACAATCAGTGATTAAATTGGTTTTAGATTCTGTTCAGTGGTTCTGGTCCTCTCCACCCTGGAAATTAAACACCAGGTTAGGCTTGATTCCCAGCTGTTAAAAGAAGTTAAAAATAGTCAATGACTTTCCAGCTTGAGTCATTTAACCTTCACCTAAACTCTGACTCATTTTTCTGATTCATAAAATTTTAAACTACTACCCCTTTAATGTCATTGTTTATAATAATAAAATATTGATATTTATTAGAAATACTTACTGAATATTCCCTGCGCCAGGGACTGTGGTAGATGTAAGGATACAAGTGAAAGGCCTGTTCCTTTCTACCCAAGAAGCTCGCTGTCTGGAGAGAAGGAGGGATAAACAGATGCTTTATAAAGCCGTGCAACATGATAAGTGCTGTGCCGGAGGAGAGCCCAGTGTGCATGTCAGCAGTGAGGGAGGTCTCCTAACTCACACTGCTGGAGAGAACAAGGAACACTTCTTTAAAGATGTTTGCCTCAGCTGAGTCCTAAAAGATGAAAGAGTTAACCAGGTATGTTGTGTTAACCCCCAGAGAATGGTTTAGCCAAGGAACAATATACTATTGTTATATCCTTCTTTTTTCCTTGTCACTCAGGATGGTGAATTTTCTCAACTTCCTTTAAGCTTAGTAAACAGTCATCTACCTCCTGCTGTTCTTCATCTTTGCAGCTACTTCTCAGGGAAAAAAGGGGTAAGTGTTCTAGTCTATGCAGTCCTGGTTCAGTCCCGCGGAATTGATTTTCTGCAGAGGTGGGGATGCAGCAGAAATCATAAATGTCCAAAGTGTATTCAGCAGTTCTTGTCTAACCAAGTTCGAGGTCATTTATAACATAACACACTGAAGGTGCTCTTGGGAGGTAGGCAGGGCACAGAAATGAGAGGAAGCAGTAGGAAAAGACAAATAAAGTGTGTAGTTCTGGCTCACAAACATCACAAACACATTGAAGGAGAACATGGACTTTGGGGTCCATTAAATTCTCGCATTGAAAGTGACTGTGTAACCCAGAGCAAGTTTCTTAGTCTTTCCATGCCTGGGTGTCTGATATTTGGGGCTATAAGACGTGCTAATGGATGGGTCCTTTCCCTCCCGGCCCTCTGGGTGCCTGGATTGCTAGGGCAGGTGGTCCCCAGTCCTGTCCTGCATCAACAGCACCCAAGGGGCTTTAAAACTTTTCTGATACTTGCCCCACTCTCCAGATATTCTGATTTGCTTTTTTGTTTTTAATTAAGAAAGTTACCGCCCAGGTTAAACAGAAAATAATGAAAAGAAAATGAGCAGGAGGAGCAAGGGTTTCCCGAGTCCCCACCCCACTCCTGCGTCGGGGCAGTTGGGCAGGGAAGAGAAGTTCGAAGGAGAGCTTACATGTGTGTCTGCCTGTATCTCTCACCCTTTCCTCTCCCCACCTCTTCAGAGCAAAGAGGACCTGACCATGACAGTCCCATCAGCAACTCTGATGGCCAGATTGCTTTGAGGACTGTTAAGGAGAGACTGTAACTTTGTATTTCCCTCACTTTTAAGTGGTATAGGAAAACACCTAGATGTTTCCTTGAACCCCACGTGGGTGAAGTTAGGAGACAACCAGCTAGTGAGCCATCATTCACAGGAGGCTGGAGAGAGACCAGGGAAGGAAGGGGTGCAGCAGAGTCCCTTAGGAAGTTAAGAGGGGATGAATGAAGGGAGAGCAGCTAGTGTCTGTGGGGACCCCTGCCTAGCCAGCTGGTCTGCTGGTACCACCCACATCATGCTACAGAGCAGGGGAAAAGGGAATGGGGAGAGTATGTGAGATATTGCTCCAATAGGAGACCCAAACTGCCTTCTCCCCACCCGCACAAACTCCCCAGTCCTCAGGAGGACTTAGAACACGTCTCCTGTTCAAGTCCACCGGCCAGAGGGATGGCTGTGGAGGCCAGAGATTAGTGGGCTACTGTCTTGCCAGGACCACTGAGGTAGAGAATAAAGAAGTGAACGTCAGACAAGTGTAGCCTGTGGTTGTAGGGTTCAAAAGGAGTCATTGCAACATATGTCTCTGTGTTATGCGGATTATTTTGAGCCAAAGGCAACAAAGTCCCTGCAGGCTCAAGAGAAACTTCTACCCGCCACTCTCCAGCTACTTAGAATTTTAGCTAAGGTGTTTACTCATCATCAGAATAAGAATGATCAGAAATAACCTCTTTTGACTTATCCAGGTGGCAGTCTATTAATTAACTACTGAACATCGTCTCTTTTTATTATCCTGAAATGAAACTCTAGAGTCCCAAGGTGCCTTACCTCATCCTTAGCTCAGAATGTCACATATACCAAATGCCCCTTTTTGTCTCCGAATCTCTTAGGTATGCAGGGTCTCTGACTCTGTCGTGCACATGGGGTTCCTCTGTGTACAAATTAAATTTGATTTTCTCTTGTCAGTATGTTTCATGTTGATTTGATTATTCAATCTGTCATGAAAACCAGAGGAAGGAAGAGAAAATTTCCCCCTTTCTCTACAAGGCCATCAGCTAGGGTCCACCAGGATTTAGGGGCTCCTGAATGTCAACTTCATCCACTTAAATAGAGAGTCATTTGGTCTCATCCCTTCCTCTCAACTCCCGCCCCCTACTCCACCGAGAGGGGCTGGTGCCTAGTAGAGAGAGGGGCAAAAAAATCCTATTAGTTTTTCCTTTGTAATTCTCCAACACACATGCACAAGCACACACACCCACATGTGGAGGGAGAGAGAGATGGAGAGAGAGCTTAGAAGGGGGGTGTAGAGAGAGAAAGAGAGAGATTTTCCAAGCAGTGCTGAGGGAGGGGAGAAATGATTTACTCTGAGGCAGAGACAAGACTAAATCACATATCAATGCAAGATTGTTGTACTAACCGAAAACTAACTAAACCCAAGGAAGCTGAACCAGCTGCCTGCAAAAGAGTCATTTTCAAGCTAGTTGGGGGAACACACATTTTATATTTATCACTCAAAACTTGTGACTTCTCAATAAATTGGTTACACTATATGAAATCCTCTACAGAAGACCTAGTGTACACATTTTGTTTTTTCCAAGTTCCTCAAACATTTCTAGACATATTTCCAGGATCCATCAAGTATGCATGAAAATTCAGAGAATTTAAAGGGTATGGATCCCTTTTTGCTCATTATAAAGAGACATATTATTTAAATGAACCCTAATATGCCTATGTACATGTATGTTAATGCTTACTCCTTTATACTTTAAAGCTCTAAAATATAAAATCACTTTTTAAAAATATATTTTATTGATTATGCTATTATAGTTGTCTCATTTCCCCCTTCACTTCCCTCCACCTTGCACACCCTCTCCCACCCACATACCCCTGCTTTAGTTCATGTCCATGTGTCATAAGTTCTTTAGCTTCTACATTTCCCATACTATTCTTGCCCTCTCCCTGTCAATTTTCTACCTATAATCTATGCTACTTATTTTCTGTACCTTTTCCCCCTCTGTCTGCCTCCCACTCACCTGTTGCTAAACCTCCATGTGATTTCCATTTCTATGGTTCTGTTCCTGTTCTAGTTGTTTGTTCTTGTTTTTGTTTTAGGTATGGTTGTTAATAATTGTGAGTTTGCTGTCATTTTACTGTATATGTTTTTTATTTTCTTTTTCTTAGATAAGTTCCTTTAACATTTCATATAATAAGGGCTTGGTGATGATGAATTCCTTGAAGGTGACCTTATCTGAGAAGCACTTTATTTGCCCTTACATTCTAAATGAAAGCTTTGCTGGATAGAGCAATCTTAGATGTAGGTCCTTGCCTTTCATGACTTGGAATACTTCTTTCTAGCCCCTTTCTGCCTGCAAGGTCTCTTTTGAGAAATCAGCTGACAGTCTGATGGGAACTCCTTTGTAGGTAACTGTCTCCTTATCTCTTGCTGCTTCTAGGATTCTCTCCTTCATTTTTACCTTGGCTAATGTAATTATGATATGCCTTGGTGTGTCCTTGGGTTCAACTTCTTTGGGTCTCTCTGAGCTTCCTGGAAGTCTATTTCCTTTGAAAGATTGGGGAAGTTCTCCTTTATTATTTGTTCAAGTAACTTTCCCACTTGTTGCTCTTCCTTTCCCCTTCTGGTACCCCTATAATTCGGATGTTGGAACATTTAAAGATGTCCTGGAGGTTCCTAAGCCTCTCATTTTTTTTTTTTTTTTGAATTCTTATTTCTTCATTCTTTTCTGTTTGGTTGTTTCTTTCTTCCTTTTGGTCCACTTCATTGATTTGAGTCCCAGTTTTCTTCCCATCACTATTGGTTCCCTGTACATTTTCCTTTATTTCACTTAGTGCAGCCTTCATTTTTTCATCTAATTTGCAACCAATTTAACCAATTCTGTGAGCATCCTGATCACCAGTGCTTTGAACTGTGCATCTGATAGATTGGCTATCTCTTCATTGCTTAGTTGTATTTTTCTGGAGCTTTGATCTGTTCTTTCATTTCAGCCATTTTTTTTTTATCTTGACGTGCCTGTTATGTAGTGAGGGGTGGAGTCTTAGGTGTTCACCAGGGCAGGGAAACCCAGTCTCTGGGTTGTGATGCTGATGTGGGGCAGGGGTCAGAGAGGGAACAATGGTGTTTGCTACATTCTCTGCCAGATTTCAGTCCCTTCTGCCTCTTCCCCCAAACAAACTGGGCCTTTCTGGGCTGATTCCCATGTGGGTGGGCTTGTGTACATTCTAGGACCCTGTAGGTCTCTCCAATGAACTCTCCTGTGAGGCTGGGAGTCTCTCCTGGTGCCTCAATTCCACAGGTGTTTTCAATCAGTGTTTTGAGGTTTTATTTCCCTGCGCTGAGACCCTGGGTTGTGCAGTCTGTCTCTTCCCCTAGTTTCTCCAGGTTTATCTGTATGTGAATATGGGACCACCCAGTCGGACAGCTGCCTTGTGCATCATGCCCCTCCACAAATCGCCTCCTCTCTGGGTTTGCCTGCTGCCACCCCACGCCCGGGGTCCACAAGCCACGGCTTTTTTTGCCTGGCCGCCCAACTCTGACCCTCCTACTGGTCTGGGTCATTGTGTCTACTTTCCTTCACTGGTCCCTTCCTCTTCTTTCCACCTTTATCTCCCTCCTCCCTCCCCTCTGGCTGCTGTCAGTCTGTTCCATGTATCTATATCTCAGTTCTATTTTGCTGGTTAGTTTGTTTTGTTCATTAGATCCCTCTTATAGGTGAGACCACCTGGTGTTGGTCTTTCACTGACTGGCTTATTTCACTTCTCATAATATTCCATCATGCTGTCCCAAAAGGTAGGAGCTCCTTTTCTCTTTCTGCTGCGCAGTATTCCATTGCATAAATGTACCAGAGCTTTTTGATCCACCATCTACTGATGGGCGTTTAGGCTGTTTCCAGCACTTGGGTATTGTAAATAGCACTGCTAAGAACATACGAGTGCATAAGTTCTTTTGAATTAGTGTTTTTGGGATTTTTAGGGTGTGTTCCCAGCAGTGAAATGGCTAGGTCAAAAGGCAGTTCCATTTTTAGTTTTTTGAGGAAGTTCCATAGTGTTTTCCAAAGTGGCTGTACCAGTCTACATTCTCAACAACACTGCTCTAGGGTTCCCTTTTCTCCATATCCTCACCAGCATTTGTTGTTTGTTGATTTATTAATGATGGCCATTCTGACAGGTATGAGGTGATATCTCATTGTGGTTTTAATTTTCATTCCTCTGATAGCTAGTGATATTGAGCATCT